AAGGATATTGATGGTGCGACGTATTGATTTGACTCCGCAGGATTCTCATTGTGGTTCATGGCATGGCCGAGAGTGGAGCATAAACATAAAACCATTGATGGTAAGTGGGTCGTAGGAAATAAACAGTTTTCGCAGGATTTAGGGATGCAACCTGTTGTGGTTTATTTCACTCGTAAAACTTGAATTTTCTTGAAACTAGTAATATAACTTAGCTATAAAATAATGAAGAATTTAAAATATTTTTAGAAATATAAAAATATTTACCTTATGGATGGACATGCTTATTGTTCTAATATCATCCTAAAAACAAAGCTCCACTCCCAAAAAACCGCATTATTTCGAAGCTTAGCCAAAGATCCTAACAATGGAAACCTGACTACCAACATTACGATTCATATTCAGCTTTATAATTGCTTTTGCCTGGGACCAGCCCCCAAAAAATCTGCACACAGAGAAAATAATATAAATTAAATTCACTGGCGCAAGTTCTCGAGCTTATTATGCATTACCTAATGAAAACTGGGCCAGGACCCAGGACCAAGGACCAAAGGAGCGGGCCAACAGAACTGGCAGCCGCGTAAGCAAATAATAAATAAATAAATAAACGAAAAGCGCAAATAACATTTGAGAGCCAGATTTAATTTCTAACGTTGAGTGCTCATATTAAAACAGGATGGGATGGGTATGAGTCCAGAGGATTGTGGCTGGGGATTTTCCCGGGTGGGGTTTGGAAAAAAGGGGCGGCAGCAGACAAAAGGCGGAGGAAAACCTTGCTGCGAGCAACAAACAAAGATGATGCGGATATCGTCGAGCCCGGTCTGGTGGTGTCTGTACGTCTGTGGATATTATATGGTAGTGGATATGGAAGTGCAGCGGAAATGCGGGATTCCGGAACCATGGGATCCCCGAATTCAGAGTCTGGGGGGGGGATATAAAAATAAACAATCAAAGCGGGCGGCAGAAGGCGTAATTGAAGTTGGCGTGAGTAAACAATGAATTACGGAATCAGGAAAGCAAATTGACTTTAATGCAAAAATCAAATATTTACACAGCGCGGATGCGGGACAAGGACAATCGCTGGAGGGGCGAACTGAAGCAGCGAGAGAGCGAAAGAGGAGGCAATGCAATTGCAATTCCCGGCCGAAAGAGAGGGCAACAGACAGTGGCAGAGACAAAGGCAAACAAACACACAAGCCAAATGGAAGAAAGAACGCATACAAATCGAGGTTATGTCAGACGTTCTGGCTGCAAACTCTTTCCTCTATTCCCAAAATTTGTTTCGGCACTTAAATGCCAATGCACACAAAACCGGAATACACACTCGTATGCAGCTTAGATAGAGCTACACTAGGAGAAAATCAACTAAGCTTCAGGATTATAGTTTTAAAAGCTGATAAGCTGTCCTTTTCGGTATTTAGTTTCAAGGAACCCCAATGACTTCCATAATGTCTATAAGCAGGAGTCCATGTATATCTAATATCTCTTAAAAATATAGAAATTTTTCGGTCAAGCCACTTTGTCACCGTTTTAAATTTGGGCAGGATTTATGAGCATATCTGTATTTCAGATTCCGCAAAAATATACTTCTTCTGAACCAAAACTTTTGATGAATATTTGAATTTAGCTTTCTTCTTTAGATTGCCAGGACCTCTTTTAAATAATACCAGTCAGTCGAAACTTAAGAAAGTGTTATAAAGAAAGTGTTATAAAACTTAAAGAAAGGGAAAATCTGAAGAAGCTTGAGAAATCTGCCCAGAAGATATAGAACAATTTTGGATGGGGAATAAAAACCTTATAGATATGAATTCCTCGCGTGCAAAAATGTTTTGCGTTGTAAGCGTTGTCTATAGGATTAACCAAAGAGCATTAAATAAAATTGTACTGCATAAATCCAATGTAAAAATAAATATAATAATTTTAGGAGTGTACAGAAATCGCTTATCGCTGCATTAGAGCTAAATTCTCACGTACATCGATTTAAAAACTAACCCAAATTCAACGCATACCAATTTCTGTAATACTCCTGCATACTATTTAATAATTTTTAAGCTTTTGGGCAAAAGTTGTTTAGAAATATTATTAAAAATTCAAAAACATATAGAGAAAACTTTTATATTCATTGTTATTTTGAATTAAATTCTAAACATTGGCTTTTTTCTCTGCACAAAAAGTAAGTAAAATCCGTTGGAGCAAAGGGTCAACTGGGGTTTAAAAGGCGGGTCAGCTTTTGTGCGGCATTGGTCTGCGGCGCTTCCGGTTTTCGAGTGTACGTTATTAGCTCGCTGGGCGTGGATGCGGTCCAACATGGTCAGAATTTTACGATTTCATTCATTTTTGTGGCTGCCATTTGACGCCGCAAAATATGCAACAAAATTTTATTTGCCAGAAATAAGAACCCGAGACCTTGGCTGGGATAGAAATAAAATTATAGAAACTAATGTGCAATGCCTTGGAAGTAAGAGTGCAAAACACTTTAAGGCATTTCTTACCCATCGCAATTTCCCAAAGAATTTCTCAATTAGAATACTCGCTGGAGTATACCACTCTATTGTAATAAAGCACGTAATACAGTAAGGAAAAAAAGTGTTAGTGTGGACAAAACAATAAAAAAATCTAGTAGAGTGCGCAAAAATTGGGTGAAAGAGGAAACATCACACAAATCTGAAAACCATAAAAGTGTCGCTTTCAATTGTTACCCCAACTTCGGACTACAGGCGACAATCGAAGCCAACAAGTGAAATTGAAACGTTCAATGGATAGTGTGGAGTCCTGGGAGCAGATATGTATGTGGGCAGGGGTATAAAAAGGAAACAGGATGGATGAGGGTGCTCTAGAAACTCGCAAACACAAATTGATGATGATATAGTGTGTGTGTTACTGCAACTGTGTGGCAGGATGCTCAGCGAGATTTTTTATACAACCTGAGTTGGGCTATACGGATTTCTAAATGAATTTTGTGCCGCCAAAAGCACTATTTTAAAAATACATTTTGATATATAATTAATATTCTCAAATATTTCAGATCAAATTTAATGCCAGTTGTATAAAAACACCTTTAATAAACAATAACTTTAATGTTGTTGATTCAATGATATTTATAAATGTTAGGTACATACAAATGAACACCCAGTCTATTATTAACTTGTAAGGAGAGTATCACTGGTCCCCTGTTATTTTTTTACAACCCCGATACTTTATTACTTTCTGAACTGAACTGAGAATGATGCCGTCGATGATTGACACCACGCCCGGCAATAAATTTTTAATTTTCAATGCTCCCCGATAGACTGATGGTCGGATGGATCTGGTGGACCCATCCCCACATCCACATCCACGTCCACGTCCTTGCCTCCAGTGAGCTTGTTAAATTCAAATTAGAACGATGCCGGGAGCTGCGTTCTATGCGAGGAGTTGCCGCTGACAGCGAAGATAAATGACAGAGAACTGCGATCGCAACAAATTAACCTTGTTAGAGGCTGCAGCACAGGCAAAGTCGAGACCAGGACATAACTCCGGGGTGGTGGAAACGGCAAGGACTCCGGCCCGAGGACACCAGTTACAAGTGTATGTAATTTTTTATCGTCTGCGACTTTCGACTCCGCTCTTCCACTGACGACAACTGACTTATGAATGGCGTGTGCCAGTCGAGTTGAGACGATGCACTCAGAAAAAATGTCTTGCTTAATTTAGAAAAGTAGTATTGAAGTTTTTTTGTTAAGAAATGAGTGTCCTATAATTTACAAATATTATTCCCTATAGTTTGATCTATTCTGTTAGAATTCTATATTAATACTTCCTTTTACAGTTAAGGATTTAAGTTTAACAATGAAAAACATGTAGAATATAGACTGTACAATTAAAATTCCTATTCCTTGGGCCGATTTCTCAATATCTTGTTAACTTTTGTTATAGTTAAATTTTTCAATTCTAAGCAATCTAAGTTTATGTTAGTTTCCACTGACAGATACCCTTAAAAGGACATTACAAAAAAATTTAGACAATGATTATCCAAGGAAAATATATACCTATGGAGGATTTACCATAGGTATATATTTGCTCGGACCCATTTTCCTAAGATTTTTCAGATGCACCATTAGCGTATAATTTTTGAAGTGTAGAGGATATGCTGGTACTGCCACTGCTGTGAGTCGATAAATCAGTTTGTGTATCAAATTGAATTCACTAGCGTGCACTTGACACGAGCCCACGCACATTTATCAGCCGAATCAGGCGAATCCTGCGAAGCATGAACTTTAACTCGGCCGCGCGGTTTCGCAGAACCACAAAATTTTAATCTCAACTAAGAGCTCACAAAAATAAAGAAAAACACCATCGGCGGCATGCATTATAAATTATTCATTACGAAATCGCAACCGCGACACGCCCACCTTTTTTTTTGGCCAAGTAAATGAACGCCTGCCGCTGACGTTCGCTCGTTTGCACCTAATTTGATTTTTAGTTGCTGCTTCTTTTGGTGGCGAGTCTGCGGTTGGTTCTCTTGGCATTCCTTCCTCAGCCGCTGTGTTTTCCCCACGTTTTCCACTCTGAAAACCATCTCGCAGATCCTATCTCACAGATACAAACACCCACACGAAAGAGGACTTGGCAGCGCTTTCCATCGCCGCATCCTGTTTTCTTTTCATTCATTCCAGCGGCTGGCTGTCGAAAAAATGTCTGTTATGTGGCTACAGAATTTTGCAGTAATTAATGGCAACTGTTTGATTAAAAAATTCCATAGCAGCACCCTATGCAAGGATGTGTGTGGGTTTAGTTCTAGTTTTTCCTCGCGGTCAAAAGATGCGATGCTGAATAAATCTATGCAAATTCCTGAGATATCTTAAAGAGTTTTTGAAGCTACACAAACTAGGAGTAAATAGGAAAGTATTTTATTTATATTTATAAATTTAAGAAACATAAACCATTGTTAATTTCTGTATAGAAAGTTTAATACTCAAGTATATGCCTCACAAGAGAACAATGTCAATTAGTATAACTGAAATTCAATTTAAATTTTTTTTCTGTTTTAAATCTAGAGTAGGATGTGCATTTGTTCCACGACTGGGCTAAAAATAACGCTTTTGATTTTAATACATGTAGCCGCAGTGAGTTTCACACCCTTTTATGTAAAAATACTACAAGCCCACCCTGCAGGGTTTCAATGCCGCACAATTGGCGAAGGACATTACCATGCTGGATAAACTAGTGGGTCACCATCATATTGTTCTCATCATAAGTATAACATTATGCGTCATCATACTGATTGTTCTTATAGCTGCAGTATATGCAGCGATTCGGCATCACATCTTGATTCTAAACATAGTGCGTCTATTCGAGTTAATATATAATCATTTTCTTAAATATTTACCTGTTTGAATTTTTTAGTCTCTTGTTTCCTTGATTTTAAAATGTTTAGCTAAGGGGATTATCTTGGTGGTGTGTATAATCACCGAAAACAACTTACAAAGAACTGCCGCCCACTTTTGGTTCATTTTATGCTGGATATTTACGGTATATATTATATTATTCAGAACTGAACTCCATTAATCAGTGGTTTTAATCAGAGCAGGCGGCATGTATGGTCGGGAATCTTTGTTTCTCCATGCGGCTAAGAGAAAACTTGAGAAATGCCGACTAAGATGATAGTTTTAGGCACTACAATGGCACTCATTCAGTAATCATAACACTGCGGACATATATTTTCATATTGAATTGGTAAGGTATTTTTAAAATCTGAACAGGATCACAATTTATGTTAACCCATCTTTTATACTACCATTCTCTATTTTAACTTTTTTCAAGATCTTCACTTGAGAATATTGTCAATATCCAAAAAAAAATTCAAAATTGTATCCTGTCAAATAAGATGTGCTTTTGTCCCACGCTTGCTCTTAAAATCGGGCTCCTCATTCTAATACCTATTACCGCAGTGAGTGAGATGCATAATTCTTTTATCCGCTAATTCTAGAAACATTCTGCAGGGATGTAATGCCGCTCAAATAGCAAAAGACGTTACTTTATTGAACGTTTTAAAGGGTGCCAATCATACCATTCTAATCGTTAACCTATCTATGTCCGTGATCATACTGGCAACTCTTATTGTGTTGTTGTATGCGACGATCTGTACTAAGCTTCGGATACTATACGGGGTGCGTCCAGTTGATTTTTGAGATTCCTTGACACAAATACTTTTTTTTTGGAATTTCCAGGTGCTTATAATATTTGCAGTGAATTGCGCAGTAAAGCTGATCCTTATTTTCGTGTGTATTTCGATTGAAATAAATCCAAAACAGACGGCCGCCCATTTTTGGCTCACAGTGTGCTGGTTTGTTTCGGTATGTGTGGACATTGGGTTTACTTATTTATTATTTTAAATTCGCCTTTCTAATCAGAACAGTTTTTCTGCCTGGCCTCCATTGTTTTGTATTGTATTCGGTTACGTGATCTGGCCGAAGAAGCTTACTTGGCCAACTAAATTGGTGCAATGTTTATTTTGTTCCAAGTGTAAGAATTTCTATATTATTTTCAATGATCTAAAATCATTTGTATTGGACTTTTACAAAAAAAAAATCTTTTCACTTCCGATCGCAGTGTCAATGTACGTCTTGAATTGAGCAATGTTCAGAGAAGAGAACGTTACTATGCCAAATAACCAAGTGGATCAGGGGGGAAATCGAAGTGGATTCTTATGGGAGCTAAGGATCTGTGGCGTCATGATCTTCCCTTGGTGGGTAATCTCTATTGTAAGTATTTTCAGATCGCTGAAAACGACACAAAAATAGGTATATTCCCAACCCACAGGCTCTAAACTTTGTAAGCATTTATAATTATTATTTTGAACTGAAAAAATTCAAGAAATGTTGGAAATGTTTATACAACACCTATATGAAGATCGGGATCGCCACTTCGGTTTTTACTATGCCAATTCTCTGTTTGGCCCTGCTCTTTGTGTGTTTACAGAAACCTCGAGTAATTCGCATTGTAAGTGGGACTTATTTTCATAGGATTATTTATGAACTTTACCCATTATACACTCTTTAAATATGTTTCAGTACGTTCCCTGTCTTGCTTTCGCCACGCTGATGGAGTTCATGATGGCTGTGGTGTTTACCTACGAATACCCAGGCATCAGTGATGTACTGCGAGTGTGGGATAATCAAAGGAGTATGGAATTCTTCGAAGTAAATGTAAGAGCAATTGAGTATCAATTAAGTATATTTTAAATCAATTGAATCAATTAAATCAAAAACTGTAATTTTTATATTTATTTTGTTCTAAAAAATAATTTTGCTTTTCCAGTATAAATGTTGTGGAGTTTTGGGACCCGATGACTACCTTGCGGCTTCAATGGGTCTTCCGAATACCTGCTTCAAGAATCGCAGTGGTCTGCCTAAGGATATTTACACCACTGGCTGCTCAACACGATTTTTAATTTCTGAAAAAATCCCCTACAGCGAGCTTGCCTCCGGAATAGTTAGGGTAAGCACTCTCCCAATAACCCCAAACCCACTTTTAAATTCCTCTTCAGTTAGTATTGATCCTGGCTTTAATTGTATATTATATTATCCTAAGATGGAGGTCACTTCCACGCTGAGTTTATGGGGTCAACAAGTTCCAGGAAAGAATAAAATGTAAAATCAACTATTAAGTTGTATTTTTGGTTTTTAAAAATAGCTATTATACCTTCGGAAGCAGTGTCATTCTGGTAAAACTTATTTCTGGTAACTTTTATTTGGAAACAATTTGGAAATGCATGGCGGAATGTCCGGGAACGACAGCTCTTCGGAGACGTCCTTGAATATGAGGACGTGGAAGCTAAGGGTCTGCAAGTACGTGATCTACTTTTTATGGGTGATAAACTTCGTGGGTATTATCATAAGAGATACCAAAAAATTACTAAGGGAAACTGCTAACCCACAGATTTTAAACTTTGCTGACATTTATACATATTATCTCAGACTCAAGGAGCATATGGATTGCTGGAAGTGTTTGTTCAGGTCCTATATGATGATCGCACTCACCGTATCTGTTTTGAAGATTCCGCTGCTTGTCGTGGCCCTACCATTGGTATATCTCCATTTGTCCAGCGAAATTCGCATAGTGCGTAACATTTATTTATATTATAACTACTTTAACTATTTAACATTTTCAGTATGCTACGGTTCTCTTCTTAGCCACTTGGCTGCAAATGATGTTGACTTTCTTGCTAGCACAGGAGTACCAGGCTATAGCCGATGTGCTTCGAATATGGGCGGGCCATAAAAGTTTGGAGTTTTTTGAAGTCAATGTAAGAGATATGACAATACAGAAGAAAATATTTGCTTACCAAAACAATATATAAAGTATTCTTAAAGGAAAAGATAAATAAATAGCTTTATTTTGAAGACAGAATATTTTTCGTAGTTAGTAAAGCATTCTATTTTTTACAACTTGGTCTAGGCTAAGTGTTGCGGCGTGTTGGGTCCCGACGACTACAAGTTTAGCGAGAGGCTGACCCCCGCATCCTGCTTCAAGAATCGCAGTTTTAGGCATAAGGACTTATACCACGCTGGTTGCTCCACCCGCTCTATAAAGCCGACGACTGTGCCCATTCTCCAGGTGACCTCCGTGATAGTCCAGGTGAGTATTTATCCAAGTGCTCTTAACCTAATTATAAGTTCCATTACAGTACATATTGGTAATTTCGATTGTGATATACCTGGTTATCATGATTCGAAACAGGGCCCATCGACGCACTTTGTGGTCCGTGCGTCGCACAGAATTATTGGGTACTGCTGAGCCTGCGGAACTGCGATCTAGTCCTCAAGACTCCAAAATCAGCGTGCTTGAGGGCTACTTCTCAGTTCCGCCCAGAACTTAAGCAGCATTGGATTCCATGTGCGATTGAATTTCGAATTCGTTTTACCCTGGGAATGGGTATTGGCATTGGCGGGCGAGACAAATTGGATGCCATGCTGCTGGCCATCGTCATATTTCACGGACTGCAATCAATAACGATAAACACTTGAGTCGGAAATCCAATGTCCAGAATCCTATCCAATGGCATGCATATGGATGAGCCAATAAAGAAATCAACAAAGCATGTCCGACGATTGAAAAAGTATTGCAAATGCCGGGATAGCCGGGGATTCGGACACGGAATTGGACTACAATCCAATCCGGACAATATGCAAATGCAGCTAAGCAGAAAATATTCAAGGACGAACCATCCCCATTCACCACCACCCATCCGCTCGAGTTTATTTTCATTTCGTGTACCCTCGTCCCGCGCATAAATTTTATTGTTGTCAACATTAAATTCAAGTCGTGAAAAACAATTTTGCAGCATTTGAAAATCCATAAAATATGCATACAAAATTGTCGGGCGGAACGACCAACTTTATGGCTAAATAGTTTGCTCCGGCCCACATCGTTAATGCCTTTTTTATGCGTGTGTTTGGGTGTTGGGAAAACTTTTTAGCCGCCGTAACAATAACGCCAGCAACAACCACACTTTGGTCAAGCTGCTGAAATACCCATAGCAAAGTTTACGGGGGGTTTGGGGATATGATATAAAGACGGAGTCGGAGGCCACAGGGTCATGTGGCTCATTAAACTTTGGCCAACAATTTTTTGTTGCACCCCACCGACAAAGACAAACAGAAAGTTTTGCACTAAATATTTGCGCCCTTGCTCGAAACGGAAAAAAAAGAGTTCAAATAGGAGAGCAGGATTTTTAGGGGTATTTGAGGTGAGTGGCCATGGTTTCAAGGGACCGAATATTTCTTGGCACACATACGCCCCATTAAACGCTAGACAAATGGAATGCTCAGGGCAACCAAAAGGGTGAAAGTGTTACTTTAAATTGTGAGTACAGAAACTTTTTTTATATGGGTAGTAATAATGGAAATACGATCGGCAGATAGCAACTATTTATGGGACTATTTGAAATTGGTTGTTAATCTTCTTGAGTTCCAGAGCCATACTTCTAAAATATCTTTAGTTTAAACGGATCATGTTTCTTTTTCCTTAAAAAGTTCGTTTTTAAAATTGATTAAGTTTTTGGCTTGTATAATTTTGTACTTCCGAAAAAGGGAATTATTTGTTTTTTTAAGAATTCTTTGATTTATATTTGCTTGCTTGCTTTTTCTTCCGAAAAGGGGTTAAATGGCTTAACCTTTAGGCTTGCAGACTTAATCTTTTTCGTAAATTTCCTTATACTCTGTTCTCCATTCAATCGCCCAAAGAAATATTATATCCATGTCATCTGGTTTTTTTTTCTAGGAGACTGAAATATTTTATAAAATATGACATGCTTGGACCTTTGTGGCTACCATTCGCATATTATTTACCCCTCTTCTCACACCTGTAATTACTGGTAATTATAATTAGTTAAAAAGCAAGTTCGTGTTCTACAGACAGACTGTCTTTATTTCGTACGGACAAATCAACAAAGTGTCAACAAAGGTTGGGTCTTCACACCCTAGTATCCCCAGTGGGAGCCGAATCCATCGAAGCTGGCATGGGCAACCACAGCGGCGGGCGAGTACTTCACAAATGCGGCGGGAGCAGCGGAGTAAACTGGAGCAGGAGCAGAGTAAACTGGAGCTGGGGCAGAGTAGACGGTCTTGGCCAGAACGGGAGCTGGAGCGGAGTAGACAGTCTTGGCCACAACTGGAGCATGAGCGGCATAAACTGGAGCTGGTGCAGCATAAACAGCCTTGGCCACAGGAGCAGAGTAGACAGTCTTGGCCAGAACGGGAGCTGGAGCAGCATAAACCGGAGCAGGAGCGGAGTAGACGGTCTTGGCCACGACTGGAGCAGGAGCAGCGGCGTAGTAAGACTTGGTGATCACGGGAGCAGGAGCGGAGTAGAGGGTCTTCGGGGTGTAGACGTTGTTGGTGGTGCGGGAGTCCACCTTGCTGACACTCGAGTAGGGGGTGACCACGTTCTTGGAGTAGGTGGACACAGTGCCTCCGAAAGAGCGCACCACATTCTGCTGGGTGGTGCCCACGGCATCGTAGTGGGGCTGAGCCACCTTGGCCACCACGGGATAGGAGGCGGCATAAGTGGTGGCCGGAGCCAGGAAGCCAGCACTGGCCACGCCCACCAGAGCGCAGAAGGACAACAGGACGTACTTGAAAGCCATTTTTAAGAAGGGATATAAAGTTAAGAAATTAACAGGTAACTCAAAACTGATGTTGGTAGTAAGCTGCAGTGGCTACTGATGCTAAACTCTTGCCAATCGCGTGTTTTTATAGCCAAAAAGCGCAAATGCTTTGCCAAATTTCACGGCCAGCTGGTAAGTAATAATTATGTGTGCTCGTATGACAGATTGACTTAGGCCTAAGCCCCAAAAAAACTGGTTCAATGGGTCGACAAATGACTGCGCTCTTTTCTCTCCCTCTTTCCTATGCTCCATCTCTGTCTCAATTGGAGGCCAGCTCAAGTGCCCCACACCACACCCTCGGTATCAGGAAAGTGAATTATTTTGAATACTCGTACTATCAGCAGCCCATAAATTTTCCAGCGACAGGGGGAAAACTTTTATTTTCCCGGCGTGCTTTTCCATTAAATTGAGTTCCACTCGAGCAGCAAATATGAGGCAACCCCTCGATAAGGGGATGTTCCTTATATTCCTTGTACTCCTTGTTGCTGTCAACTTTATCAGCAGGGGTGTCAGCGGTTTTTTTTTTGGGGTGGTGGCAGTTAGTTGTTTATGATTTTTGTTTGTTTTTTATGGTAAGGGGAAGCTGAGAAGTTTTTTGCCCTTCAAGAAGGGAGGTCCGAAGTTGAAATTAATGATCAGGAGATGTAAAGTTAAGGTAGGTTTCAGAAAGGTAGTAATGAAATTGGTTTAGTCCAGGGACTAAGATCAGAAATCTATATACAATAAATATATTTATGTTTATTGTCAGCCAAAACTTTGCCACTATATCATGATGAAAAGGGCATCTAACACTTCGTCTTTTTCGCATTTTTCCCCCATCTTGTTGTTTTCCTTTTGTTTTGGCCAAGTTTGGAAAATGAATTTTCCTGCTCGGCTGCTCACGGGCGCATGATGAATATTTATTGAAATTACCAAAGTTGACGCTGCTCCAAATTGAATTGTGTTGCCAACTTGGGATGCTTCTTACTGCCACAAATTCTGCTCTCTTTTCGCTTCTTCTATTTGCGTATTATTTTCTTTTTTGGCAAATTGTTATTAATTTTACACTGGGGCCCTGAAGGTTTTTTCACCTCACTCCGCCACCTAATTTCCACGTTTAATTTATGCCTGCAAATTGGCTTGCCAACGGTTGCGCAGGTGAACTGCCATCGCATTGTGGGCAGTTCAATTACCAAAAAATCACCAAAAAATTACTAAAAAATCACCAAAAGCCAACTGAAATTGGCACGCGTCAGATGCGTATAAAAGCCGCAACATTTTGGCCAAATCAGCATCAGTCGCAGCCCAGCCAGCCTGCCTTCAACTACAATTCACAGTCTTTGAGACCGTCCAGTCATCTAGTTACCAATCAACATGGCTTTCCGCTACCTCATCTCCTTCTGCGCCCTGGTGGCCTATGCCAATGCCGGTCTTTTGGCCAGCCATGTGGCTATTGCCAATCCCTCCGTGGATGCCGTTGCCTCCACCCAGCAGAATGTGGTGCGCTCCTTCGGAGGCACTGTTTCCAGCTACTCGAAGGCGGTGGACACCCCGTACTCCAGTGTGAGGAAGAGCGATACCAGGATCCAGAACAATGTCTACACTCCGGCCATTGCCAAGACCACTTATGCTGCTGCTCCGCTGTACACCCAGGCCACTCCCATTGTGGCCAAGACTCTGGTCCATGCTCCTGCTCCCGTCGTCGAGAAGACCATTTATGCTCCAGCTCCTGCTCCAGTTTTGGCCAAGACCGTGTACTCCGCTCCTGCTCAGGTTTATGCTGCTCACGCTCCAGTTTTGGCCAAGACTGTGTACTCCGCTCCTGTGGCCAAGACCGTTTACTCTGCTCCAGCTCCGGTTTATGCTGCTCCAGCTCCCGTTCTGGCCAAGACTGTCTACTCTGCTCCCGTGGCCAAGGCTGTTTATGCTGCCCCTGCTCCAGTTTATGCTGCTCCCGCTCCCGTTCTGGCCAAGACCGTGTCCTATGCCGCACCACTGGCCACCACCAACGTGAACCACGGACCCTCCGCCACCACCTACACCCACAATGCCCCCGCTCTGGGCGTCTCCAGCTATGGCAGTTCCCAGACGGTCCACTACTCCCCTGCCGAGAGTGTGTCGCACATGAGCTTCGATGGATTCGGAACCCACTGGGGTTTCTAAATGAGTCTTGGCCTTTCTTAGCCTAAGCAATTGTTAATGTTTGGTGGTCAATAAAGACGGAGATCGATTGTTGCAAATTTAACATGATCTGAGTGATGTTAGACCTTCCAGGGAACAAAGGCGAAAGACTGGTTTCTGCCACATCATCATCATCGCTGGGGCGACCTTCAAAGGGGTCTTACTTTGAGTGGGGGGCGTGGTAAGCGGATTTGTGATAAGCTGCTGCGGGGGCCTGGCATTTCGTGTTTTATGGCTCTTTAATTGGATTTAATATTTTTCGCACACCTTTCCCCCAACAAACCACTTGAAGACGGAGGGAAAAATAACCTCTGGCCCACACGTGCAGTTGTTATAATTATTGTCAGTTAATTAACGGATATTTATGCTCGCATAACCGCAGCGCCGCATAAATGGCTTACAAGCCGGCCCCCGAAGCTTAATCTTGACATTTGTCTAGAGTGGTCTTGGATATATGTGGTACATTAATGGGACCCAGTTAAATGGGTTCAATTGGATCCATTGACAGGCGGCCACGAGCGGGGGAGGGCAACAGATCAAATGCGTGTTTTGACAGTGATATTTTAGCGGGATTGCTTGAATAACGATCGAGTTACATAATGAAAGACATATGATGTATAGGTAGTGAGGTAATAAATGCACAGAAAGGTTGTAAAGTTGTTTAAAGAAGCAGATTTGGTTAGGGGAATACAAATCATAGGTGGCGATACTATACCTTTGCACTAGAATTTTTTGGGGTTTCGGTTGTTACCTAAAAAATTTTACTCGTTCTATTTCTGCCTACAAATAAAAAATCAACCGAATTAGAAAATATTAAAAAACAAAAAACAACAACATTTTATTGGGTGTTTCCAACTGAAAGTGTCAAAAAAGATATATCTTCGGTCCATGATAAAATCTTCTTACATGGTGGTTTGATTTTTTAAAAATTGATTTTATGTTCAAAATTCAGTTCAATCATAAATTATCATACAAAAAAAATTTAAATTGAATGGGGTCTTAACCACAAATAGTAGCCTTTAAAATTACCTTTGAATCAATGAAAAATGTTACTATTAGCAGTTTAGTTTTGTTGGTCTCCTAATGACATGACACTAATGAGACATGCAATGGAGCTGATTAATTCCCTCCAGACCAACTGACAGGCCAGACAATAACAATCAAATTAAATGAAAACGTGTCCAAAAAGGCGTAGAACGAGGTCCCTGTCTTGGAATTTTTGCCAGACAAATTAGCTGCATTTGTTGTTCTTGCCCGGAGCTTTGATTTGCGATTTGATTGCGCATACGCCCCATGCCACATGCCAAAATGTGCCAGATTGTCCTCGTCTGAGTTGACAATTAGTCAATAATTTATTTCAATTTCATTTCGCATGCCAAGCACACTCACACACCATTCCCCCCTGAAAATGAAAGCCTAACTGCACTTTAATTACATTTACATTTCGGCTTGAGATTGTCGCTTTAGTTTTTGCCACAAAACGAGACTGACAAGGGGGCAAATTGCAGGGTCCATCCCTGCAATTGTTGCAATGCAATTTAGGTAAGCGAATTTTCATGATTTAAATAACAGCATTATGTGTGGCAGATTGTGCATGTGGCTGAAAAACTGCAGACAATGTGGGTTTGCCGTTCGGTATTTTGTGTTTTGTCTGACTGGATGGCCGTGTGTCCTGCTATAATTAAATTATGGCTGGACATAAGACGCATAATAGGTCATAAATCAAATTTACCTATCCCACGGGTCCATGCCGGGCATGACACTCCAGACGCCGTCACAGACACAGTTTCCTATAGCCAAAGTTGCACAGGAAAAAATATTATAATCACAAAAGTCCTTATAAATACGATACGAGTCCTTATAAATGAGATATATAAATATTGAGGAAGGTAATACACTTTAAGGATTATCATTATATAACTCAACTGGCAATATGACACTGAATAAATATTGTGAAACCTTCACAGTCATCTAATTGTTGTCATATGCCACTTGCTATATACTGACTTTACTAAATGGATTTATTTATTTTCAAAAGTTAATCGCACCTACAGAAAAAACCTTAACTTATAAATTGATTAAAAATAAACATTATTAGATTGTCAAGGCTTTTTTCAAAAAATCCAGTCAGTTAGTCAAAAATTTATTAAGTGTCACAGGACTATTATAATAGTTAGGGTTAGAGTTTATTTTTAAAAAAAAGAAATATATATACATATTATACTTATTGATAGACAACTTCCATTTACTTCCCAACTTCTTCCAGTGTAAATTTCTTTCGGTGGAACAAGGACGCTCGGTACCCTGGCCCCCTTTCCCCGCTTTTTGATGGACATTATGACGACTCTGTCTCGGCAAACAATTAGACAATTGATGCATCTGCTGTGGCTTTTGTGCCCGTCCGTTTGAATTTACATTTGTGCCAGCATTTCTATTGCAACTTTGACTCCACGGAACCACAAAAGGGCCGTCCCGTGGTCCGGATTCTGTATCCGTAACTGCGACTATAACTGCCGGACTGTGACTGCACTTAATGTGTCTTCTGTCAGGGCCAGCCGTACTTTGCATGCAATTCAATTGAAACATTTGGCCAGCAGAAAATGCAAATTTGTTGCCATGTTTTCGGCCTACTGCTTTCGGTGTTGTTATTTTTATTTCGGCGTGAATTGGGGACCCTAGTTAAAACCCTGCGATTTTTTCAGCAATAACAAAAATGTTACTATTAAAAATAGTTTAATTCCAATCGAGTGTAAATTTTAATTCGATGTAAAAATCAAACACAAAACTTTTGAAAAACTTGAAAATTGTCTGTTTCCCAATATTAAATTAATAAATGATGCTGTAAATACAAATACCAGACTAACCCGGGCAGAAATAGAAGAGAAGAAAACAGACCCACCATCGCGATATGTCATAGAACCAGACAGAAAGAGAAAACCCACCTCATCTCCACAATTTCCACTCCACCCAACTGATAATACGCATTCTGAGGTGGATTAAAATTTAATTTTTAATTTAAAGACTGTTTGTATTCTATTTGCTCCGCGTGGCGAAACAAATAAGTGCAGCTGAGGGGGAAATGGAAGCAACTTTAAGCTCGTTTTTTTTCTGTTGATTTATCATCACTTTATGCAAATTGACCGCTTACCTTTGAGCTTTATCGCAGGACACACATCTAGGGAAAATGTTTTGTGGGGAGTTTTCTATTTCATCCATTTTTCCTGGGACTTTCCCGGTTTTTGCTCTACCAACCCCGTCTTTTGCTGCCACGTGCAATGTCAATGCCAAGCGATTAACATTCAATTAGCTTTTGGCTCCATCAATGATTTTATCACAGCCAGGAGGTCCTGTTGCTGCGGCTGGTTTGAGTGTAAACTGTGGCAAATTATCATTAGCCTGTTTTGGGGCCCCAGCAAGGGGACCCCAGCAACGACATCTTCAAAAGGTTTTTATGACATCAGCAGCTGTCGTTGACAGATTATTGTGGCGATTATTTAGCAGAGAGGCAGGACACACCGAGCAGATAGCAGATACCAGATACAAGATACAAGACGGCAAACAACAAACGGGATCCAAGGATGGGGGCTTTTGTGCGTTCAACTGGAAATTGTCAACACTGTTGTTGGCATTGCTGGTGGCCGCTTTGTCGTCCCTGCTACTCCGACACATGTGGCAGGACTTCAAGGACCTCCATCCTTCCTTTCGCCACTTAGACATCTTGCGGCTTAGCACTTGTAAATAACTAGCAGTACTTGGAAAAGTTGTCACATTTTTATCAACACCACATACCAAGTATGGGTTATGATATGACAATTTGCCTGTTAGGATCAACATGGTTTGGTTTTTAAGCACACTTAAGACATATTCAAATTTTCAATTAAGTTTCAATTTTTTTGCTGCTTACTCAAATATTTCTTTTTAACGAGGGTCGAAATTTTGACCGATATTCATGTTCGAATTTTCCGTATTTTCAATGAGTTTCATTATTGGACCTTAAAACTGGAGTTCTAGATTCCATAACTTGAGTAAAGGTAGTCCGATTTTGACATGGGATACCTCTTTGAATTTGTTGTTGAATCCTCTAAAAACCTGCATTTAAATATTTCTTTTTAACGAGGGTCGAAATTTTGACCCACTTTCATATTCGATTTTTCCGTATTTCCAATGATTTTTAGAATGGGACCTCAAAACTGGACTTCTAGATTCTATAACTTGAGTTATTGTAGTCCGATTATGACGTGGGATACCTCTTTGAATTTGTTGTTAAATTCTCTAAAAATCTGCATTTAAATACTTATTTTTAACGATTGTCGAAATTTAAAGCCATTTTCATGTTTGACATTTCCGAATTTTCAATATTTCAGAATGGACCCAAAACTGAACTTCTACATTCCATAACTTTGGTAGTTTGATCCCGATTTTGAAGTGTGATACCTCTATGAATTTGTGGTTGAATTCTCTAATAATCTGCATTTAAATATTTCTTGTAAACGGGGGTCGAAATTTAGACTCATTTTCATGTTCGATTTTTCCGTATTTCCAATGGGTTTCAGAATGGGAACCCAAAACTGCACTTCTACATTCCGTAACTTGGGCAGTTTGATCCCGATTTTGAAGTGTGATACCTCTATAAATTTGTGGTTGAATTCTCTAGTAATCTGCATTTAAATATTTCTTGTAAACGGGGGGCGAAATTTTGACTCATTTTCATGTTCGATTTTTCCGTATTTCCAATGGGTTTCAGAATGGGAACCCAAAACTGCACTTCTACATTCCATAACTTTGGTAGTTTGATTCCGATTTTGATGTGTGATACCTTAATGAATTTGTGGCTGAATTCTCTAATAATCTGCATTTAAATATTTCTTTTTAACGAGGGTCAAAATTTTGACCCATTTTCATGTTCGATTTTTCCGTATTTCCAATGGGTTTCAGAATGTGGACTTAAAACTGAAGTTCTACATTTCATAACTTGGGTATTT